TAAACTAATGCTCAGTAATAGTAGATCATATATACACTTTCTAGGAAAAAAATCAGTGTACGGATCTTTCATACCTCACGCGTTCTATGAGAACGTCTAATAAACCACATTCAATGGTAGAGCAATGTGAAAAGAAACCTTTGCAGGTCATTACTGTTAAGCTTATCAGCAAGCAGGAAACATATGAAGATTCATGCACCAGTTAAAAAAAACATTTAGCAGACCATTGTGATGCATTTCCATATTCACACTCTCTAGTGGGGTTTATTATGAAAATTGAAAATTTAAGTCAGAATACAACAATCAAGCTAAAACATAATGATTATTAAATGTTCAATAAGTTTGCATTACAGAGGAAAGATTAAATAAGATTTATATTCTAATCCAAGTTGTAAGCTTGGGAATTTCCTTGGTACAAAAACAGCTGATTAGCATGTAATAAGAGAAAAATTTTCACTTATGCAAAACAATCCCTAGATTCTTTTCTGCAAATATATTAATCTGTTTAATCACTAATGACAGAAGAAAATCTTACAGCAAATAAGTAACTTTTCACAATATTTGCGCACAGATTGTATGAGATTACCAATTTCCATTTTTTTTCAAGGAAAGCATGTAATAATGCATTTTGTATGTAGGGAAGAAAGTTTTCTGCCCTGGTGCTATAGAGATACCAGCCCAGGAACAAGTATACACAACCAGACAATAGTCCTGGCTACATTAAAGAATCTTAGAAACGGCACATGTGAGAAACTTTTTTTTTCTAGTGCACCCATACCTATACATACAGTATATGGGAGGCAGTTTGTGCCCTGTGACTCACAATGTATCCAGTGCTGTTCTTTGATTTGTTATATGAGTGATTTAAGGTTGTAATCATTCTTTTCATGATGTCTTTAATAGGCTTTCAGGGCATGCTTGTATTCTGTTGTCTCTGTGGCCAGCCTTTGCTATGTTCCAGGTTTCTGATCCTTGCAAATGACCTTGACCATCAGGTTGTGCAACTTCTCTTCTGATTCCAAATTAGTGTTCACATCTGTATTTTTGCTCTGACCACTAGCTTGCCCAAAGATCCATTCCTGTTTCAGTTCCCGGCATTTGATCTCCGTCTCACTTCCTGCCCTTGGATTCATATCTCAGTTCCTGTTCTTGGATCCCTGTCTCAATTCCTACCCTTGGATCCTGGTCACAATTCTTGCTGTTGGATTTCTGTCCCTTTTCTTGCCCTGGAATCCCTGTCTCAGTTCCTGCTCTTGGTTCTATGCCTCAGCTCCTGCCCTTTGAACCCTATCTCAGTTTTTGCCCTTGGATACCTGACTCGGTTCCTGCCTTTGGATTCCTGTCTCAGTTTCTTCCCTTAGAACCCTGTCCAAGTTTAGTCTCTCTAGATCTATTTCTCCTGACTTTTTATCCCCAAGCTCTAGTCTTTATATACCTATTTCAGTTCTTACCCTTTCGAGAACTGTCTTAGTTCCTGCTCTTGGATTTCTGTCTCAGTTCTTGCCCTCTAATCCCTGTCTCAGTTCCTGCTCTTGGTTCTTTGTCTCAGCTCCTGCCCTTTGAACCCTATCTCAGTTTTTGCCCTTGACTTCCTGTCTCAGTTTCTGCCTTTGGATTCCTATCTCAGTTTCTTCTGTTAGAACCCTGTCCCTGTTTAGTTTCTGGATCCATTTCTCCTGCCTTTTAATCCCCAAGCTCTAGTCTTTATATACCTATCTCAGTTCTTACCCTTTTGAGAACTGTCTTGGTTCCTGCCCTTGTATCCTGGTCTCAATTCCTGCTCTTGGATTTCTGTCTGAATTCTTGCCCTGTAATCCTTGTCTCAGTTCCTGCTCTTGGTTCTATGTCTCAGCTCCTGCCCTTTGAACCCTATCTCAGTTTTCACCCTTGTATACCTGTCTCAGTCCCTGCCTTTGGATTCCTGTCTCAATTCCTGCCCTTAGAACCCTGCCCAAGTTTAACTTTGGATCCATTTCTCCTGCCTTTTGTATCCCCAAGCTCTAGTCTTTATATCCTATCTCAGTTCTTACCCTTTCAAGAACTGTCTTGGTTCCTGTCTTTGGATCCCAGTGTCACTTCCTGCCCTTGGATCCCTGTCTCCATTTCTGCTTCTACATCCCTGACTCAGTTTCTGCCTTTGGATTCCTGTATTAGTTCCTTACCTATATGTGCTTTTGTATGATATTAGGAATTTTGGATTATAGTGTAAAGTATGGAGAATGCTTAAGATTTATTGCAAAGATCCTAGAGGTATTTGGGGACATTTGAGAACAATTTGCCTTGACAAATATGTTTTTATGAACTGTTAATGTGGATTAGAGTATAGTGTCTTTATATGCATACAAGGAATGTATGTATATAAAGGCTGCATTTGATTAACCTGAACTTTTCTGTGCAAAAAAAAAATTTAAATATATAAAAAGAACACTAAGATCATTTACAGTAGTCATGCTTTTAGATGTGATTATCAGTTTATACATAAACTAATGATAAAGAGTGGCTAGATTATTACCTTTGTAGTTCTGCACTGTCTAAGTAGTTCTGTAAAGTCTAAGTTTAAAGCCTAAAAACTGCCTATCCCATAAAACAAAATATCTGTGCCCTGGTGAAGACATGAAAGTATGGGACAATTTATTCAGGGAAACATCCTATTTACCATTTATTTATGTAAGTAAAATTCAGTTTTGTGATGGATATAAATATTTCAATCCTAAAGGCGTCTGCTGATATTTCTAATGCTGAAAAGAAGAGAAAGAAAGACTATTAGTGAAAATGATTAGACAAATCCTGAATTGTATCACCATGTCTGTTCTTTCAGGATAGTTATGCAAATGGTATGTAGCAAGTTCTGAGCCAGAGAAGCATTATATAGGCTGACCACTAGATACTGTATATTAGGTGACATAAAATATTAAAGGAGAAGTATAACCAAAGTTTTTTTTGGCTATACTTCCCCTATGGATCACAGGAGTCCAGTTTGTTCTGCACTCCTGTGACCTGCTTTCAGTTGACAGCGGGCTACGTCACAGAGCTGGTCCAGGCTCTGAAATGACTCCAAACATATGGTCGGGATCCACCCAGAAGTCTGGACCAGCACCTGGCTCAGCTTCTCAGCAATCCACCAAGAGCCTGAGCCAGCTACTCCCACCCCTCCATAGCCAGACACTCCAGTGAGCACTGGAGGGGCAGAGCAGAGAGTCAAAGACTGACAGTCCTGTCTTTCTGCTCAGAGTGAAGGGGGAGAACTGAGCGATCATTGGTGTTTGATTGCTCATTTATCACTGCAGAGCCAGTGGGGGACAGATGCAGCATTTGATTGATGCTGCATCCACCTAGGTAGGTAAGTCTGAATGTTTTCTTTTAAAAAACCTTCTGTGTGCAGTTTTTTCCCCTAGCCCCCCCCCCCTTATACTTACTAATCTTGATCCAGCACTGTATCCAAGAGTGGCGGCTCTCTCCTCTCTCTCTCTCTCCTCACTGGGCATGGAGGTAGCAGTAGGAGCCATTGGCTCCTGCTGCTGTCAATCACAGCTAGTGAGCAGAGACATGGGGCGAGGCCAAGCTGCTCTGTGTGTGTCAATGCACAAACACAGAGCAGCGGATCAAGCACTCACAAGTGCCTCATAGCATGCGGCTTGCTATGGGGGCACTCGGCGGGAAGGAGGAGCCAGGAGCGCTGGTGGAGGAACCTAGAAAAGGAGGATCGGGGCTGCTCTGTAGAAAACAGCAGGTTAGTATAAAATGTTTGTTCTTTTCAAAAAATACTTTTGAATCACTTTAATGTAAGGAACATTTCTGTATAATATAGTTGAATAAAGGATGCGGCCAGGACAAAGGTCTTCAGTAGCCTAGGATGTGTGCATCAGTTACAAATAGTTACATAGTTGGTAAGATTGAATAAAGACACAAGTCCATCCAGTGCAGCGTCTTTTTGTATGTACATGTTTGTGTCTCTACCATTTCCCATATTCCTGTATATTGTGTTCACTAAGATGCCCATCTAAAAGTTTTTGTTAAATTTTCCACACTGTCCACTGAGACCACCAACTGGGAAAGGGATTCCACATCCTTACTGCTCTAACATTTAAGAACCCTTTTCAAAGTTTAAGGTCAAAACTTTTCTCATCCAACCTCATTGAGTTGCCACGTGTCTTTAACCAGTTCTGTGCCACTCTATAGCAGAAATACTGCTATGGGACTGCATGGGTGCTCAAAATCACATATATATACTTAATTTTGCACTTCCGGATAGGGGGTGTGTGCCATTTGCAATTCCTCACCGTTACCCGGTGATTACCGAGTATCTCTGACGGGGGAGAGACCTGTATGTAAACAAAACAGATCTCTCCCCTGTCAGCTCCTGCACACTGCTTTGCATGGCTGGGGATGTCAGTGACACCAAGTCAGTTCCCCCCAGTGTCAGAATGCCCGCCACAGTCCTGCAGTCCTGCTATAAGTTGCTAATCACTACCATTACTAATTAACAAAAAAATTCCAGTATATATACCGCCATTTGTAGGCGCTATAACTTTCACGTAAACCAATTAATTTACACATTTTTTTTTTTTTTTTACACATGTAGCAGAATACATTTTGGCCTAAATTTATGATAGATTTTTATTTTTTTTATTTTTTTTACTGGACATGTTCAACCACTTGCCTACCAGGCACTTCTACCCCCTTCCTGCCCAGGCCAATTTTCAGCTTTCAGCGATGTCGCACTTTGAATGACAATTGCGCGGTCATGCAATATTGTACCCATATGAAATTTTTATCTTTTTTTAACACAAATAGAGATTTATTTTGGTGGTGTTTAATTGCCACTGAGTGTTTTATTTTTTGTTTCTATTATAAAATTTTGCGTTGATGAGGCGGCACTGATAGGCAGCACTGATTGGCACTGATAGGCGGCACTGATGAGGCTGCACTGATATGCAGCAATAATGGGCACTGATGGACACTGATGGGTGGCACTGACTGACGGCACTGACTAGTGGCACTGCTGGGCACTGATGGGCGGCACTGCTGGGTAGCACCGATGGGTAACACTGATGGGTGGCACTGCTGGGCAGTACTGATGGGTGGCACTGATGGGGGGCACTGGTGTGTGGCACTGCTCAGCACTGGTGGGCGGCACTGCTGGGCACTGATCATCAGTGCCCTGATGACCGGTGCCGATCTGTTCTCTGACAATTGCCGGTCATCGGCAGTACTTTCCTCACGCTGTGACAGAGTGAAAAAAGTGCAGCCAATAATCGGCAACTTTATTTACCCGGTGATCTGCTGTGTCATTGGACACAGCTGATCATGTGGTAAAAGGCCGCTGTGATTGGCCTTTTACCACATCACTTGATCAGCTGTGTCCGTAGGACACAGAGATCACGGCAGGGGCGCGGACTGACAACACATGGGGCCCCCGGGCAATAGGGGATCATGGGGCCCCTGTGTCCTTGCCCACACTCAAACCACACCCAAAAAAGCCTATGAAAGGTACCAGGGGCATCTCATGGGGCCCCCTACTGACCCTGGGCCCTCGGGCAATGCCCGAGCACCTGAATGGTCAGTCTGCCCCTGGATCACGGAGATCACTGGGTGTGCACCGCTGGAGGCATACAGGAGGGTGCATTCTGGGAGGACATCATATGACACCCTCCCAGAACTGGACAACCATGCTGTAGCCGTCATTTGGTTACTACGCAGTTGCCAAGTGGTTAATAGGAAAAAGTAAAAAATATAGTTTTTTTTCTCAAAATTGTCAGTTTTTTTATTTATAGCTCAAAAAATAAAAAAATGCACAGGCGATCAAATACCACTGAAAGAAAACACTATTTATGGGAAAAACGGACATAAATTTTATTTATGTACAGTGTTGCATGACCGCTCAATTATCGTTAAAGCAACGCAGCGCCGTATCATAAAAAAATGGCCTGGTCAGGAAGGGGGGGGGGGGGGAATCCTCTGGAGGGTAAGTTAAGACACCTAAACTGAATAGTTTACTCCCTATGCTAGAATCACCATTTAGATATTTGTATTTTGTGATCATATTTCCTATATATGTACTGCCCAAATTTTCCAGTTTAAATCTGATTGATGGCTATGGGGTGACCGAAAATTCCTATTGCAGATACTTCAATAAGCAAAGCCTGTTGTAGTCCACATTTTGGGACAGAAATAGGAGATCTGACAGTCCTATATTACTTTTGAAGATCCAGCACTCATTGTCCTTACTTCAGCTAGAAGGGTGAATCTCCAGAGCTGAACCTTCATATAAAGGTAGCACTAGCAGCATCTGTGTTTTTATCCTGGCAAGTCTGCCCTACATTGATTAGTAGCTGTGCTTTCTTTAAACATTGTGCCATTTAACTATGTTTAACCTAGAACTAAAATAGGATTAAAATGTCACTTGGAGGTTATCCTGAACGGAGCAAAGATTATGAAGATCACTGCTGCAGTGTGTATATTCAGTAGAACAGACATATTAGCATGACATGACACAACTGGGTCACATATATTACAACTGCTAATACAGTGCCTCTTCCTCATTAATTAGGAAAAGCATTGTATACATGTGTAATAAAATGGAAGGTGACATCTAATCTACAATATTGCAATATTTGTAATTCTTTTTTGTTGACTAATTTTGTATGACATTATACTGTACTGTAAAGAGCCCAGTGCTCATAAAACAGCCAATATACTTATTACTGCAGGCAATTTGGGGTCTGGTCCTGTTAAAATGCAGCATAAAAAGACTAAGGAAGAAAAATGTACTAAGTATGACAGATAAACAGTAGAAACTCTGCAAAAGAAAATGTTTTCATTTAATATGGCAAGTCCACTAGTCCAAAAAAAAAAATTTTTTTTATACATCTAATTAGTTACAGATAATATTTGAATAGTTGTTATGTGCTACTACTGAGTTAAAAAGGGCATTTGCTCCAAGACCACCAGGATTGCTGGTAGATTCACTAGCAATGAAAATTGACTTTTGATGCTGCAACATAGCACAACTCAACCCGCTAACGCTCTAGGAAACCAGGATATGATTCCATTAGTAGTACCATAATTTATTCTAATAGAGTAATCTTACACTAAATATCACAGTTTCAGACCAGTTGTCTGCTTCTCACTCTCTTTATAGCCTCTTTCTTTTCTTTCTGTCCTTTCAGCCAGGTCTGGATACATGCTTTATTTCGGTCTGGGGGATCCCTTCAAAATCCATACCAGACCCAAAGGACAGCTGATGACTCATTGGTTGTTAAGGATGCTGCGGCCACCTGCTCCTTAACTAATTGCCGACCGCAGATAGCCGAATGACGGTTGCACTGCGGCCGGCCAGTTCTGGGTGGACGTCATATGATGTCCTCCCAGAACGCGCTCTCCTGCGCGCCCCCTGGGGGGCGCACCCAGCGATCTCCGTGATCGCTGTGTCCTACAGACACAGCTGATCACGTGACGTGGTAAAAGGCCAATCACAGCGGCCTTTTACCACGTGATCAGCCGTGTCCAATGACACGCTGATCACCGGGAAAATGCAAATGCCGGTTCTCGGCTGCACTTTCCTGACGCTGTCAGATCGTGAGGAAAGTACTGCTGAAAACCGGCAGTTGTCAGAGCGGGGATTGGCACCAATCATCAGGGTCACTGATCACCAGTGCCCTGATGATCGGTGCCCAGCAGTGCACCCACAGTTCCGCCCACCTGTGCCCAGCAGTGCACCCACCTGTGCCCAGCAGTGCGCCCACCTGTGCCCAGAAATGCACCCACCTGTGCCCAGCAGTGCGCCCACCTGTGCCACCCCAGCAGTGTCACCACCTGTGCCCAGAAGTGCCACCTACCTGTGCCCAGCAGTGCCACCCACCTGTGCCCACCCACCTGTGCCCACCAGTGCCACCCACCAGTGCAGTGCAGCCCAGCAGTGCTGCCAGTCAGTGCCACCAGTCAGTGCCCAGCGGTTGTGCCAGTCAGTGCCCAGCAGTGCCGCCAGTCAGTGCCCAGCAGTGATGTCAGTCAGTGCCACCTATCAGTGCTGTCTATCAGTACCCATTATCAGTGTCGCATATCAGTGCCACCAATCAGTGGCCGCATATCAGTGCCACCTATCCATGACACCTCATTAGTGCTGCCTATCAGTGTCACCTATCCGTGCCACCTCATTAGTGCCGCCTATCAGTGCCCTTCAGTGCTGCCTATCAGTGCCCATCAGTGCTGCCTATCAGTGCCCATCAGTGCTGCCTCATCAACGCACATCAGTGAAGGAGAAAAATTACCTGTTTGAAAAATTTTATAATAGAAACAAAAAAACTTTTTTTTTTCAAAATGTTTTGCACTTTTTTTGCTTATAGCACAAAAAGTAAAGTGCCCAGCAGTAATTAAATACCACCAAAAGAAAGCTCTATTAGTGAGAAAAAAATGATCAAAATTTCATATGGGTACAATCTTGCATGACCGTGCAATTGTCAATCAAAGTGCGACAGCGCTGAAAGCTGAAAATGGCCTGGTAAATAAGGGGGTATAAGTGCCCGGTAGGCAAGTGGTTAACAACCATGACAGTTACTAGTTGTTAAAAACGTTGATGGCCTCCCAATTTTTAACAACCATGCTAACAAGCAGCTCTATTAAATCCCTTAAATAACGCGTGGCTATACCATGATCTATTCAACTAATATATTTATTTAGCTTTGTGAGTTGATTTTAGAGTCAGTTTATGAGGTATTTACCGTGCATTTTTTACTTGTGCGGTAAGTACTGCATAAACTGACTGTGGATTGACATTTTGAATATTGCATGTAATTGCAAAAAATGTGTCACGTGATCCAATTATCTAATGCAATATTCTTCAGTGAATTGAGCCTATCATGTGTCAACACCTCCAGTGAAAGTATTGCTCTGTATTATAACTTATAATACCAATAAAAAGTTAATCCAAGTGATTAATCAGATCTCACAGGGAATTCTACCACCATTGCCACACACGGTCTGTTACCATTCAGAAAGATTCTAAGTTATAGGTGGTCTTAATTCGTGCACAAATACATGGGATCTGCTGCAGCAAATACATATCCTAGGACATGGGAACCACAGGGCCCACCAACAGGGAGTATCAGCTGAATCACCTCTCCCACTCCACATATGTCAATCCAGCAAGAGAAACAGATAACAACCTCCCATAGTGTAAAACCACTGGCTTTAATGATCACTAGACTGTATATCTACTCATAATCCTGCATGTGTAAAGGGCCCATCAAAAGATTACACAGAACCGCTCGCTCCAGCATGCGTGATGACATCAGCATGACATGTTTGTTATTTGTAAAAAATAAGATTTGGTCTATTACAATCACTTTAACCTTGCATTAAAACAATGTGAACTGAGCCAAATGCATTGTTTCTGTTTTGTTCAGAATACAATACAATATCAATAACACTTTTGAAAGTATGAAAGCACGTAATGTATTGTCTAAATATGATTCATGCAGTCCTTCTCATCACCTTAGAGGTCTAGGGCAACTTTTATTTTCGCACCAGTAAATCTGAAATGTTAGACATGGTCACAATTTTCAGTTTTATTTTAAGCCGTATGAATCATTCTTGTGTCAGTAACCTATTAGATTGTTCTTTGCCACAGCCTAAATCAATTCTTCATGGGTCTGATTACCACACATTGTTACATTTTTTGTTTATTAAATGAGCCCATTTCTTAGCATTTAATGAGTTAAAAATCACTGGTGATGCTAGACCTCAGCACTAGGTCTATCCCTCTAACCTTTGCATGCAGCACTACACAGAGAGATATCCAGCCTGATGTCATCCCTGGGGGACCCTGGGGGAAACTGTGTGACTTGTGCAGTGGACACTACTGCCACTAACCACCAATGAAAGAGGGGACATAAGATTGACTAGTAGTAAGAGGGCACTTCTCTCCTGCAAGGAGGCACCCCTCAACTGACCAGGTTGGAAGGGGTTCATTTTCCTCTGACCAGCAGCACTTCACTGACTACACAGCAAGGCGGCACTTGTACACTGATCAACAGCAAGGGGGTACTTTTCCACAGACCAGTGACAACCAGAAAGAGGGTACACTTGTCCACTGACCAGCAGCAAGGGGGCATGTTGACTAGCACTAGGGGCACTTACCCACTAACCACAAACATTTCAAGGGCCACTTATTCCTGACTCCTGAACTTTGAAATTACATAGACCTGACCTCTGCATTTGTATTGCTGTGTTGTATGTTACAAAGTCCCGACAAAAGAGTTCACTATATCAAAAGTTTCTGGTTTTTTTTTAATGAAGATCTTATTTAAAGTAGGACTAGAGAAAGTGTTTGCATTCTGTGAGCAGAAAGGCATATTACATTTACAAGTTACATTTTTAATTAAGATCCTCTGTTCATATGTGTCTGTATAACTGTCACTTGTGACACAGTAATAATGGATACTGTGCCAAAAGGACTGTGGCATAGGTGTGTAGTGCATACAGTGAATAAGCACATGTCCTGTTTAATCATCCTCCTTTAACCCCTCTGCGCCAGCGCCTCCCGGCCCTTTAAGATTTTCAGAAGCTGGGAGGCGCGTATGGTCATGTGACCGCCATGATTCACCGTCATGGTGGTCACATGAACGGAAAAGGTCTCAATCGCAAGGGGAGATCGGGACCTTTCTGTGAGTCAAGGACATATGTGCTGGGAGCACACAGGGCACGTGCTCTCAGCACAAATGTGTTTTCTAATGGCACGCAAATATGCAGCCGCCCGGCATCAAGGCCCAGACACCTAGAGGCCGCATATTTGCATCTAGGGGTTAATCCTTTACTGCCATCTACATAAATACTATGTGGGTTCCAGCAGCAGCAGACAAACAAACTCTCAGTTGCAATCATTTATGTGGGAAAGCGATGATCTCTGAAGGTTTTTAAAGCATCTTTGGATAGTTTTGCTGTGTCGCTGGCTCACACAGTTTTTAAATCTTGAGTTTATTGGTATGTATTTTCTCAACTCATATTTTATATTTTACAGAAAAGTCTGCATTTTTATTGTGTTTGTATGCAATAAAATTAATTTAAAGAAGAACTTTAGGATAGGCAAAAAAATCACCCCCCTTCACAAAACACTAAACAGCTAATAACATTTTGAAAATCCTTACCATTAAGGAGAAAAGTCTAATTGAATTTTCATGGTCTCATCTCTGTAATTCAAAAGATAACAACATCTGCTCTGCCAAGTAGGAGGTGTAACAGCAGGGATTACATCATATCCTCTCCTCTCTTTCTGCAGTAAAAGGAAACTACAGCTCCCATCAACCTCAGGGAATTGTAGTGAATGTGGGTGTGTACACTAGGCCTGTACATGTTGAATGTGTCTGAGAGTCTTGGTCTGCCTACCACTTCAGACGGGGCTGAACTACCTCATTGCCTCCTGGAGAAAGAACTACAGAAGGGATGTGCCAAGACCAGTGGCTGGGGGAATAGGAGGCATATCAGTCACTGGTCTTGCAAACAGGAAACCAAAGAGAATTAATGGTTTCATTTGAAAACGAACGGGCTATTTCTTAGTAACTACTGAGAGAACCAGACGAAGGATGACATATTTGAGTTTTTTGAAGTTGTAATTTTTTTGTAATTTTTTTGTCACAATTGTTTTGAAAATTACGAAATTTAATTTTTTTACATATTGTCAGCAGTGCAGTACAGTGTCATCATCTGACTTGTGTGGAAGTGATCAGGGACACTGACTGGTGACAGTATGTTAAAAAAAACCTAAAAAGTTTAAATAATTCTTTATTCAATTTTTTAAAACACTTTTTAAACTTTTTTTGTAACTATTTTCTTTTTTATATACTTTCATCAGAGTAGTTCAGTGTCACCATAGTAACACTGTACTACTCTGGGGGGTGATCAGAGATTTTTTTTTTAACACTTTGAATGCTGTTATAATGATGATAACTGTAACAGAAATGTTTTGAACTGTCATGAATGGGTTAGATTTATAACAGCTGTGATTATTAGTGCTCTGTGATTGGCTACAGCTAATCACATGGTACAGGGTGCTGTGGGTGTAACTGGCCCAGGTATTATTATGTGATAGCTGTAGGCCAATATAGGAAGCACAGCTGTTATGAATGAAATTCATTTATAACAGCTATGTTGACATTGCGATCGTGTAACCGAATAGTGATCACTTGATCCCTGGGCTGCTTAAACACTTTCCCGCTGCCCTGTAGCAGAAATACTGCTACAGGGTGGAAGGGGTGCACAAAATCAAGTATATATATGTGATTTTGCATTTCCCTGCACCGCTATTTGTGGCCTTGGCTGTCAATCAGTGGGTCCCAGCTGGTGATTACTCGCCGGGGCTAGAGCAATACAAGCAGTGTGCTTACAGTTGACAGCACAAACACAGCTTACTGTGAAACAGCACACAGTTAACCCTTTGATCGCCCCACATTTTAATCCCTTTCTGTACAGTGCCATTGGTACAGTATCAGTTCTTTTTATTAGCACTGATCAATGTATTGGTGTCACTGGGGATGTCAGTGACACCAAGTCAGTTCCCCCCAGTGTCGGAATGCCCGCTGCAGTCCCGCTATAAGTCGCTGATCGCCGCCATTACTAGTAAAAAAAATAAAAATTACAGTATCTATACAGCCATTTGTAAACACTATATAACTTTCATGTAAACCAATTCATTTACACGTATTTTAGCAAACACATGTTGCAAAATACATTTTGGCCTAAATTTATGACAAAATTAGATTTTTTATTGGACATGTTTAACAGCAAAAAGTCAAAAATATTGTTTTTTTTTTCTCAAAATTGTCAATCTTTTTCTTTATAGCACAAAAAATAAAAAACGC